ACGGCTGTGGCTAGCCGGCGTGGAGACGCCGGAGAGTGCGTTTACCACGCACGTTTCGGGACAAGGGCGAAGAGATGCATCGCTCCGTGCAGCTACAAACCCCCGGGAAACGGAGGGGCCGGCGCTCAGTAGTGGCTCTGAGCGTCGGCGGCACGTGCAGGCTCCTCTTCGTCAGCGACAGCGTTTCGGGGAGCCTGTTTTCTGTGTGACACGGGCGCTCAACGGAGCGTAGTTCCAGCGTCGAGTGAAGACGTCGCCCGTGGGGGGCACGGACCGCGATTGACGACGGCTAACGGCAGTCCCATTCGCAACGTACGGCGTGAGACCTATGTGTTTGTGCATCGGGAGGACAGCGTTTCAGCTGGGATTTTGTGACAGCGGACATTTCTTTTCCCCTCCTCGGAGCGGGATTTTTTGTGGTGCTCATGGACTCTTAGTGGACGTTAAGAATAGGCGTTGGTTGATGCCTTAAACGTTTTCTTCCCTCGTGTGCCACTTGGCAGCGCAGCGTACGACGGGCTGTCAGGCTCGCTGTCAGGTGCAGACACGTTTCTCAACTGTTGGGCCGAGTTTCCAGACCTGTCGCTACCCACCTTCCTCTGCGCTTACCACTAAGCATGGCGTGGAACACCACCGTCACTACCGGGGGCCTCCTGTCTACGCCAGGGCCCGGTCGGTTGAACCCTTCTAAGCTGGCTGTAGCGAGGGCGGAGTTCGCAACCATGGAGCGCCTGGCATTGTCCTCCGCTCCGACAGTCTTGGGCTTTCCCCCCTGCACGTCGTTCCCAACCCGTGCGGGGATTACCGCCGACTCAACGACGCCACTACGCCTTAAATCCGTGACAGGGGACGAGGCCGGGGGGCGGCCCCGTCGCGGAGGTCGAGCCAGCACCACAGGCTGTCCAAGTCCCAGGTGAGCAGCTTCACCACCGGTCCACCGAGACGTGCTCGGCCTTGCCACCCAGGTCGACCACCAGGTGCTTGTCCCCGTGCTCCAAGACCCGGAAAGGCCCCATCATAAGGGGGCTGCAGGGGGCCTCTGTGCGCAGCGTGCCGGATGAACCCTTCAGGACTTTTCGCCATCTGGCCGGTACGGGGGTGTTTTACCAAGGTGGACCTGGTGCGTGGATACCACCAGGTGCCCATGCACCCCCTGGACATTCCCAAGACAGCAGTGATAACGCCTTTTGGACTTTTTGAGTTCCTGCGGGATGCTTTGGACTCAGAGAATGCCGCTCAGACGTTCCAGCGCCTGATGGATGTCGGGTGCTGCGGGACCTTGCCGTTTGTGTTTGTTTACCTCGACGACATACTCGTCGCCAGCGCTTCAGTGCAGGGAGCACCTGTCCCACCTCCGAGCCCTATTTCAAACGGCTCAACGAACACGGATTAATCAAAGTGTCAAAGTGCCAGTTCGGGGTGTCGGACATCGATTTCCTAGGGCACCGCGTCACCAAGGGGCGTTGCGAACAACCTCTGCCAGCGAAGGTGGAGGCTGTTGCGGCTTCCCTCGCCCGCTCACAGCCCCGGTCGCTCCGTGAGTTTTCTGGGGATGGGACTTTCTACCACCGTTTCATCGCAGCCCGGGCCGCCACAATCATGCGGCCGCTGTATGAAGCGTTGAAGGCAAGACCCCCGTCCAGGAATCGACTGGACAGCAGAGGCGGACGGCGCTTTTGCTGAGGTCAAGACCGCGTTGGCTCAGGCGGCTTTGCTGGCACACCCATCATCTACGGCTCCCATCTCCATCACCACGACTCGTCAGACTACGCGGTCGGCGCAGTGCACGAGCAGTGGGTGGAGGGGGCGCTTGGCAGCCCGCTCGCCTTTTTCAGCCGCCAGCTGACGCCTAGAGAACGCAATACAGCGCCCTTTGACCGGGAGCTTCCTCGGGACTTTATTTGGCCGTGCGGCACTTCCGTTCATGCTGGAAGTCCGTGAATTTACGGGCGTTTGTCGACCACACAGCCGCTCACCTTTGCCATGTCAAAAGTGGCGGAGCCTTGGTCGGCACGTCAGCAGCGGCAGCTGTCCTACATATCGGGAGTTCACTACTGACATTAAGCACGTGGCTGGCAAGTCGAACCTGGTTGCTGATTGCCTCTCCAGGGTCGTCATCGGTGCCGTCCAGATTGGGCCTGGACTATACTCGCATGGCGGCAGACCAGGTCACAGATCCCGGCGTCCAGGCCCTGAAGGTGGAGAGCGCGGGGCTGCGCTTGGAGGACGTGGTGTTTCGGCGACGCGGGCATTACTCTCCTGTGTGACGTCTCTACGGGCCTGGCGCGGCCTGTCGTCCCTGCCAGCTGGAGGCGTCCTGTGTTCGAGGCTGTGCACGGCCTGTCACAACCCCGGCGTTAAACCTTCGGTCCGTTTGGTAGCGGCGAAGTTCGTTTGGCAAGGACTGAAAAGGGACGTGAGGACTTGGGCCAGGGAGTGCGTGGCTTGTCAAACACGCTAAGGTGCACCGCCACACGAAGGCCCCGTTGGAGCGTTTCCTGGTGCCTGAGAGGAGGTTGATCACGTCAACATTGACCTGGTTGGTCCGTTGGCCTTCCTCTCAGGGGTTTTTCCTACCTCCTACCATGGTGGACAGGACGACCCGTTGGCCGGAGGCGGTGGTTCCGCTCGTTTCGACATCAGCCGCCAGACGTTGCCCGGGCCTCATTGCAACGTGGGGTGTCGTTTTGTACCCCGTCAGACATTTCCTCAGACAGGGGCTCTCAGTTCACGTCCGAGCTCTGGAACGCTGTGGCAGGCGGTTTGGGGGTTAAGCTGCACAGGACTACCGCTTACCACCCTCAGGCTAACGGTCTCTGCGAGCGCTTTCATCGCTCCATGAAGGCGGCCCTCAAGGCCGGCCTTACGGACGGTAACTGGGTCGACAAGCTGCCCTGGTGATTGCAATGGGCCTGAGGACCGCACCTAAGGAAGATCTGCAGTGTTCTACAGCGGAGATGGTCTACGGTCAGCCGCTGAGAGTTCCGGGGGATTTCCTCCCAAATGCATCGGCTCCCTGGTCGGCGTCGGCCCAGCGGGCTTCCTGCGTGACGCCGCTGAGGCCTTTGTTCCGATCCCTACTACTCAGCACGGGTACTCAGGTGTCCCAGGTTCCCGCAGAGCTCCGACTCGGCGGAGCACGTGTTCATCCGGCACGATGCGCACAGAGGCCCCCTGCAGCCCCCTTATGATGGGCCTTTCCGGGTCTTGGAGCACGGGGACAAGCACCTGGTGGTCGACCTGGGTGGCAAGGCCGAGCACGTCTCGGTGGACCGGGTGAAGGCTGCTCACCTGGACTTGGACCAGCCTGTGGTGCTGGCTCGACCTCCGCGACGGGGCCGCCCCCCGCCTCGTCCCCTGTCACGGATTTAAGACCTGTTGTTCCGGTCCCTCCCCTTCCGGGGGCCGCACAGGCGGGAGTCACTTTTCCGACTCCCGTGCTCAGGAGTCGTGGGGGTCGGCGTGTCGTTCCTCCCCGCCATGCTGATTTTGTTTATGTGTGAATTCTGGGGGAGCTTGTGTGGTGACACGTTATTGGACATAATTCACCTTGCTTATTGTGTTGCCACACGGACCCTTTAGTCGGGAACACCTGTAGCTTTAGCTGCCATTCCTGCTAGCTCATCAGGCAGAGCAGTGCATGTGTTAACCTCTCTGAAAGTAATGGATAATAAAGATTGGAACTCCTTTCTTAATACACAGACCTCCGACTCTCTTTTCACGGCACTACAGTATAATGTTTAATACAGTTAGCACGCTGCTAAGCGTAGCTGTTCTTTGTCAAACTGTGTATGTACTGTCGTCAACTTCGTAGCCGGAAGTGACCCGAGCTCTGTAACAATAACAAGCGAACAGCTTAAATACCGTGTAAAGACCATCAGTTTTTAGCCCTTTTCACATTGTGGAGTGCTTCAAAACAGCAAATCGTCTGCCATGTTAATTTATGAGCTTCATAGATGCAAGAACAATATTATCTTACCTGAAGCTTTGAGTGTCCAGCACTGTTTACATTCCCCACAGCTGCCTCCACTCTCCCCTTCAAAATAAAAGTCCTGTTCCAAAAAACATAACATTTAAAGTGGTATGCGGATAGTTTAGATATATTTACACAGTTCTTAAGATCCTTCAGAGACTTCCACTTATTTAAAAGGGAATTTCGTTTATAGAGCTCACAGTATTGAGTTAAACAGTTAACTATCTAATGCAAGAAGATTTCCTGTTAATCAAGATTGTTACAATTATAATTAGTTAAATTATGTTTTCAAAAAATAGAAACTCCACCCACCTTCAACCCTTTAAGATTGTATTAATGGAAACCGATAATTGATTAACTGATGTTGACTTTTTACTGAAGTCTAAATGTATTTGGTTATTTTCACACATACAGACATATGAACAATAACAGACATCGATTCATCATGAGGTGTTGCTGAACCGGTTTTATTGTTCTAGGTAAAGATTTGTCAAAAATACAGAATCATTTGTTCCAATCAGAACAAAAAGACTGAAAGCATGCAGTTTGATAAAAACATTTCCATGACATGTAAAATCTGTTCAAAAGGAAGGGCACAGGCACATTATTATGAACACACAACTTTGCATTTGAGTGAGATTACTTTTTTCCTTCCAAAAATAAACACAGAACAGTCAGAGTTTGAATGTAAGAGGGAAATGAGGGAATAATCATACTGATAAAACCCAGTAAGTAGTTCTCGTTAATGGGTGAGGAACAGCACCCAACCGTAAAATATTAACCTGGTTCCCTCGTTGGACCAGGATGTAGAAAGGTAATGGGAAACACTTCAGTGTTTTTAGTGGTATAAAATAAAAGTTAAACTACAGGCTGCATTGCAGAGCGCAACCCAGTCACTTCCAAATCTCACCTGACGATGAACCAAACGAGGAGCAGTTTTGTCACAGCTTTAGCAGACTATATAAAGAGAGCATACATGTCTTAAACCTACATACAATATTTCAATCAAGATAAGATGGCTTTAACATAGATTAACAGATACAAGCAGGGATATAAAAAAGGACTTGAGATAAAAACCACAGGATACCGAACACTGTAGAAACACCAGAGAACCTGCCCAAACTCAAAGATCAAACTCGTGACACCCAACTCTGCAGATAAGCACGAGTCATTAAAGAGCCGTCAGCAGGTAATGGCTGTAATGAAAACTGCCTGTTTATGTGCATGGACTCTTCTCTCTCAGTCTTCTTTAATCCCCCTTGGTCAGAAGGTCCTCTATGTAGGCGTCCAGCTCGTCGTCTGTGTTTATATCAATGTCCTAAAAGTGTAAAAAAGCAATATTAGTAACTGCAAACATTGACAATTATACAACAACGATTGCATTTGATAGAAAGATACATTTTGTCAAACTATTTGAAGATCTGGATGTCCTGTTTCTCGGACCAGGTGAAGCAGACTTACCTCTTGAACTTTTTGCAGGAGTGCTACAATGTTTGTTCGTAGTTTCTGTAGTTTCTCGTCCGCCTCCTTCAGTTTCACCTCATTGCTGTTGCTCTTCTCTTCAACAGCTTTGGCTCTGGTGTCAGCTCTGCTCTGGTACGAGTTGCACAAAGACTGCAGACCTGATTCATACTGCTGGAAATACTCTTTCTGAAAAGCAGGAGGATATAATAAAAAGAATAGTAAGAACAAATCAACACATTCCCAGAACTGTAATATTCGTTAAGGGGCTTTCACAACTGTCGCTAAAGTAAAGTAGAATAAAACGTGAAGGGCATCGTGGATGGGGAAGGAGGCGGCAGAAGGAAGAAGAAAAGGAGCAATGGAGGTTGTGATAATGCTGGGGTTGTGCAAAATTGCACTAGCAACAGTAAGTACAACCAGAAGAAAAACTGGACCTGGTATAACATTTCCACCAATTGTTTCAAATATTTACAGTGACCCTTAACTTGCACTCTCACCAGAAACCCATTATGACATTTGAAGAAGCACCACACTGTCAGCATCCTATTTACAGAATGCATTGCTCTTTTGGAGAATGCTTTTGCAGGCAGGCAGTCGTTAGGGCATGTGCTGCACAGAGGTGTGAACGCAGCTCTATGTTAATGCTGCTGAAGGAAATCAATTCCTCTGCAGATACAATATTGCATTCTCTCAGCATTTTATTTATTTTAATATCTTAACCACACTGCATGTGCAAACCACACAATTTATTGATAGCATTCTTTTTTCTTTTTAAATCTGACCTTAGTGTTAGGGTGAAAATGAACAGATATTTTAACTCAAACTGCTGCCGAGGCAACAGAACGCAAATCTCACGCAGGAAATAATATTCCATTTTCCAAGCAAGAATTTCGTTTTTTGTTAATTTTATTTACTCTTTGTTCCAATAACCCAAAATGCAACAGACCAACGACTTCTCCTTTGACCTGTGCTTTTCCTGGTAAAAAAAGCATATGCTTGTGCTGGTGGTCTAACCCACCACCACCTGTCTCCAATATATAATAACCACCAGGTGCCCAGATCACCCAGTGATTATCGCCTAAAAGCATAAAGAATGACTTTAATTAACTAAAATATACACCTTAAATAATGATCAATTTAATATAAACAAAAACAGCTAGAAATTAAATGTGTAATTAATAACATAAAGCACCAACACTTGTGAATATATTCAAGCGTTAGTTATCTTACCAAAGGAAAGGCCACCAACTCCTCAGCCGATATGCTGTTAACGTCGTCCTTTGGGATCCGAAAAGCAGGAGGGAAGAAGTAACGCAGCATGGTCCTGGAAACACAGAGGGCTCAGAGATCAAGCCACAGTACTAAGAGAGTGGCTGTCCTCCTTTAAACATGGTAACACCAGTTCATTGTAACCAGCTCACCTCAGCATGGTAACCAGACTATCGGTCACCTCCCGGCTGGTGCCTGGCTGGGTGGTGTCGGGCTCCATGGGGGCCGGCCCCTTCTCTGCCTCCTGCTGGGTGTCAGGGGTCTGAGAGATTGGAGATGGCGGCCGCATCAACCGGACATCATCACTTCCCTTGAACACCCTTCACAGACACAAACATACACGTATAGGAAATTAGTAATCTGACAAAGTCACCAGCATGTGCCCTGAATGCAGCTTAAGAGTCTCACCATCTGTCTTTAGGAGTGTTTCTAGGTACATAGTCAAACTTTACTTTCCAGCGAACGCTCTGTTTGTTCACCTCCACAGCAATGACTTTGCTGGTGTACCACTCCTTATTGACACGTACTTCAACCAGCAGCCCTTTATCTGTAGACAAATAAACCCAGGTAGACATTCTTATATCAGGTTATATATTTTTGTTTTATTAGTGATACATATTTGCTTTTCTTGGCTGATTTCTTAAAAGTCAGATTTTTATTTTTGCAGAATCTGATTTGTTTTCTTTTTAAGAACTACAATTGACAGCATACACAACATTTCAATGACTTTAAATAACTCACATCTAATCCAAAACAGCACCAAGTTACAGGACTTTCTTTGTGTGTGAAGCTGTTCTTACATGGCTAATCATCTCTAAGCAGGCTGACGAACTCCACACCACTGACAGGATGTGTGTGTTGCTTTGATATGACTAAATAAGACTGATCGCCTGCTGATCACTCCATGCATTGTTGGTGTAGATCAGACAATAAACTCACCTTTCTGAGCATTTTTCGTGTTGTCCCCCGTTTCCTCCTGTAGGGGCTTCTCCGAGTCCTGCACAAAAGAAGACAATCGTAAATCCCACTGCAGTGAAATAAATAGTGTTTACTGAAAAGAAAGGTTAAAAGAAAATATTTGCATCCTGTTAAGCACACTGTCCCGAAATTGACACCAGATGGACACACGAAGATGGAATTGTGAATTTCGCACGAAGATGGCCCCGAACTTGGTCAACAGCCGAAGCAAGTACGATGCCTACAGAAGGCCACACGATGGCACTTGAACCACACACGAAAATATGCTCGTAGACTTTACTGATGATTTAGAATGTATCCAGAGACTCAACGTAAGAGCTTGTGCCTCTTCGGGGGCTGCCAGCATTTAAACATACACTTTATTCTTCACTTTCTCCGTCTGTATATGTAGATTAGAAGATATTACTTATCTCCGTCATGTTGTTTCCAACAACTTCCTGTCAACAGCGTAAACTCGCCTTCAAAATAAAAGCATCTAAATAAAACAGGAAGTTAACCTAAATTACATTTAAGACATACAACTGCAACGAAAGTAACAAAAACATTGTAATATCCTTTTTCAGTTTCACAGAACACAAATCGGGCTATTTACATAATATGTTTACATGATTTTGTTGTGCAATAAATGCAATCTCGATGTCATTGTACTATAATACGATGGCTACACGATGGCATTGCGAGGGCTTCACGTAGTCGTGTGACCTTCCTAGGACAATCGGGTAGCTTCTTGTTTCCTTCGTATTGTCTTCGTGAGGCGAAAAATGCCCGATGGCACCGATGATCACACGAAGATGACAAGATGCCCTCACGAGTGCCTTACGAAGGGCAAAATGGACACACGAATTCAACATGAAAATGAACCTTCGCAAGGTCCGTCGGCAATTTTTTGGCATGCCAAAGATTTTGCCACCGCTCACGAAGTTGCTGCTGGAGCCTGAAAAATTCCACCGGCGGTCATACGATGGCTTAAGATGCCCTCGCGAATGGCCTGATGTTATTACGGTCAGAGCCGAATTTGAACATTTCCTTTATCGTGTGTCCATCTGGTGTCAATTTCGGGACAGTGTGACAGGGGCTTTAAAGAAGGAAGTTAAAGACCCAGTTCGACTGCAGGCAGTGGGTGAGGGTGTCATGCTTGATAGTAGTTGTTAGATGGAAAGAGATGATTGTGAGAAGAGAGAGTGATAATCCGACAGTACCCATAACAGCTGAAAGGTTAATTAATTATAGTTAGAGGTTATGAGAGCAGATGCAGCCCGGCTTGATTAAAGGGTAGTAGAGAGGGACCGAACAAAGCTACCTTTGCTTTAGCGCCATGCCGCTGCATGGAAATGGATTCAGGAATAGAGGTCGATGTGGTTGGCTTTTGTTGTAAAGGAGAAGAAAGTCCTTTCTTCTCGGGCTCGGAGAGGGTTTTAATCTGCAAGGTCGAGAGTATGGTCTGTTTGGAGGTTTTCTTCCTTATATGGTCCTAATTTCAGTAATTTTCCCAGACACCCAACACAAATACTATGGGAAGGAAATTAACCCATTTGATTTTTTCAGTTTTCTCACTGATCTGGAGAGATAAGTAAAAGTCACATAATCTTATAAAAAAAAAATGAATGCCATTCTCATACACATGTGTAGCAGCAGGGTATATGCAGGAATCCTGAAGTCAAATGTAATACCTTTTAAGACCTTTAAGACCTTTTACAGTTACGGTTACATTGGCGGCACACTTTACCTCACGTTTACTATATACAGTATTGATTATCCTTCCTACTACTTGCATTCCCCATAACGATGTTGTTTAACAAACGGCGTAAACGGACCTTCGCGCGCTATCAAGCAGTGAGCGTGAGATGTCCTGTTCAGATGACGTCAAACCCAACGGGATGCCATAAATAAACTACACAGAATCACACTACACACCTACGCAATGATTACACTCAGGCAGACTGTAGAATACAACCTCTTTGGACAATTGATATACTTATTGAAAACAAGCTACAAAATGTAATACCTTGGAAAATGCCGTTTAATATTTTTTAATAGCCTTAACTTTCGCTAAATTGATTTATCAACTTTTAATACTTTTTTAAAGACCCCGCGGACCCCCTGTGTAGGTACACATTAGTCTTTACGATCTAAACTTTAATCAAACTGCCCCAATGCTGCTAATTTCAGGCTCCTAGGATCTGTCCTCTTCATTTCCTCGCTGCCTAAAGGCGAGTCCTTCACAACACTGATGCACACAGGGTGATTCACTTTATGAGGTATGACCTGAATGTGTAATTTTATATTCTTTAGATAAAGGTGTACAGACCTTTGAGCTACAAGCAAAGTCTGTTGTGTGTTTACCTCGTCCAACTTGCCACGTTTGGGAGGCAAGGACTTCTCTATCACTTTCCCACGGTTACCAGCTGCTGCTGCAGCTGCTGCTGCTGCTGCTGCCATCTTGAATTTCTTTGTCCGCGGTTCTTCTTCACTCTCCACCTCACTGTCATCATCCTCATCCTTCTCCTCCTCTTCTTCTTCTTCCTCCTCTTCCTCCTCATCCTCACTGTCGACCACCGTTATGACTCTCTTGCGTTGTACAGCAGATGTTGCTTTGGCTGGTGATGCTTTGGCTGGTGATGCTTTGGCTGGTGTCTGTCAGGAGAGAGATATCAGAATTTAACATTCACTTGTACGACCAGCAACAAAACCTTCCATTGGTACTTTGTGGTTTTTACAAATCGAATAGAAAGCCTTTGTTGTCGTTGTACAAAAATATACAGCGAGTTTTTAGACAAACAATAAAAATACGCCAGTATGGCTAGGGATGGGTATCGTTAAGGTTTTAACGGTACTACTACTTTTATTGATACCGCTTATCGATCCGGTCTTTTAACGGTATTTTTATCGGTTCTTTTGGAGAAAAAAAGAAGGTAAACTAACCAAACAAATTGTGAACAAAACTAACATTGCTTTTTATTTAAATGAAATACATAATATTTCACATAAAAAACAAAAACAATGTTGTAACAAATCGTATTAAATAATCTGATGACAGAACTGTAAACAGAATAGCTGAAACTTTAACAAAATAAATAACTCAGTTACCTCTAATCATTAACCCATGTTTGTATAATGTAGTTAACTCCGTGTGTTGCTGCCAGCATACATAACACCTGACGTGGAAACGTTACTCGTGGATGGGGCTACAGAGCTGCTAGAAAGACAGTCGAACCCGGTGCATTCCTCCGTCTGAATGTGGAGCACTTTTGCTAAATGTTTAGACAAATTGCTCGTGTTACCGCCCTTACATGCTAAACTCTTATTGCACTATTGGCAACGAGCATTGTCCACATCGAGACGGGTAAAGTGTAACCACACCTCGGAGCGCTTAGTTTTCCTCGCCATCTCCGCCGTGTGTGTTGCTGCATGTAGCAGCTGCGTGTGTAAACTGCCCCGCCCCCTCGCACATAGTCTTTTTGCATGTTAGAAACGGAGTTGGCGAAACTAAAACTGCAATATAATGTTTATGTAGCAATAATACATATGACGTATTTTTTACTTGTCTCCAGTACCGATAAAAAGACCGATAACGTCGGAGCTTAACGGTACCACGGTCTTTAATAATTCAGCCCCGGGGCCCGTTTACGAACGTAAACAATCATACAGGGCCGAATAAATAGAGAAGCAATGGCGTAAAATCTTTAGAGTGCGTAAAAAAAAAAGTTATTAAGTGCACTTGAGTTTGGTAATTAAAAGAGTTGTCTCTTAGGACTGTTGGTTGAGCAGCCTGGTGGCTGAGGGGTAGAAGCTGTTCTTGCTGTGGTGAGCGTTGCCTGAAACATGAATCTTACCCGGGAGCTGCGGGTGGGCGGGGGGGTTTTGGCAGTAGCTTTGGGTACAGGCTTGGCTGCAGGTGGAGGAGGTTTTGCTGCAGCTCTGGACCTGGATGGTTCGACTTTAATTGGTGGTGGCGGAGCAGGTGATCGGGTGGGGCGCTGAGGAGAGGCACGAGATGGGGGGCCGCCCTTTAGATGAGCTGGAAGCGGGGGGGAGCGGGCCCGCGTTATGGACCTCTCAGAAGACCTGGTTGCCTAAATCAAAAACATGTGAAGCACACAAAAATAATTGTATTACTGTGAAGAAATCTTTTTTATAATGTATGCTATTAGACGTTAAAGAGGAATTTATATATTAATGCTTTGATCAAATTGTGTTGTTGATCATTCAATCGTTAACATTTTTTTCATAAATTAGACATCCGTGCAAACTTATTTTACCGGGAATGTTATTACTTGTGTGTTATTGCTCGTATTTCAATTGATATCCCCAGTATGAAAATAAAACATAATGACAACATAAATACTAATGATAGTCAATGCCTCACATCTCAACTATGACCGTATCAAATAAAGGCATGAAATGACTTTGAATTCAAACCGAAAGGAAGAAAGGAGAAAGGAGTTTGTACCTGAGAGGAACCCTCGGAGGGTTTCATGCTGGCATCCAGAGGCAGCTTCTTTATATCCGCTGCAGATTTGATGGTGCTGGTTTTCTGGTAAGAGAAAATACAATCAATTGAGTCCTGATGTAGATAAAACAGAGAGCGCTGAAAAGAGAGGGACTGATTAAATACCTGCAAGGCCTCGAGTTTCTCCTGCTGCAGTTTGATTTTCTCTGCCAGCTCTTTTTGCTTGACTTCACCCGTCAGCTTGTCTTTCTTCAGAACACCACATGGCAAATTATGTTTCTGTTCAGAAGCATCGCACCTAAGACCAGAAAACGCACACTTTGTTTAGCTCGTAGGAACACTACATTGATTGATAAACAGCAACAACCTTGGCATGCAATACACATGCAACATGAACAATGCATTACAACTTTAAAGACATATCCTATGAAACCCCACTCTGCCCACCTGTCCTGGTTGCTGTCGGGGTTCATGAGACACACCCAGCTGTCTGGGTAGCGTTTGTCCACAGCATCCATCTGGAATGGCAGCGTTCTCCACTTTAAACATTTATCTGAAGATAAATTGCAGAGTCAGAGTCAGTGTAGGATGTGGCAGTAAGTACGCTTGTCGAGACAGTGTGTGAGTTTGGTGTGTGTATTGATGTGTAACGTACCACACTGGATAGTAAGCGGTATCTCCATGGCCCGACGCCTCTTGTATCTCGGCTCTGATGACGGGGGTGCGGACCAGCTGGCCGACAGATATCCGAACTCATCCCAGAACTTCACTATGCCTTTCTGAGCTGCATAACAAACAGACGCTCAGCATTTCATACTGCAAATTCATTTATTAAAAAGAAATAAAGCAAACACATGAACATTGTTTTCATTCATTTATGCAAGTTCAAATATATTTATAACCAATTAGCTTTTTTTGTTTTATCAACGTTTGTTTTTTTAGATGACTTGTGGACATTTACGCTCTCGCTCCTTCTCAAAAAATCGGCCATTGAAAACCCCATATCAGTCGAGCACTTATTGGGAGGGCAGTGTTAGGCTGTAGGGAGGAAGCTATGACCTAAACTGGTAAATGATTAATGTGCATGTCCAGTGTTGGTGGCAAATGAAAAACCCACATTTCAGAGAAACTCACCAATGTTAGTGTCCTTCCAGTACTGAGCTAAATGTTCCCCCATGGATTTCAGTAAATGTCGATACTCTTTGGCATCTGCAAAGTCCTGTTTGTTGTGAGTAGGCTCTAGAATTAAATACGGGACATCCACTACTCCAACCACACCTCCACAGGCCCTAAAACACACAAATCACATAAGTGTCAAATATTTATCTTTATAATCAAACATTGTCACTTTTCAAACTCTGCTCGATGTTACTCACATGCCTCCCTCCAGCTGAGGCCCTGTCTTCTCGTACATCTTGATGAGACGAGAGCAGTTGTACACAAACATCCCATCCAGGTCTCTCTGACCAATGTTCACTCCGAATATAAAGTTCAACTCCTTGGGCTCCTTTAGCGCTCTGAAGAACAAGAAAGTGTTGGACACAGATAGGAAATAGAGAAAGCTCAGCAATAACGCTATTTTAAAAAAGGTGTTGTGTTGGGATATTCTTTCTAGTTCAGGGTATATGCAGGAATCCTGAAGTCAAATGGAATACCTTTTAAGACCTTTTTTAAGACCCTTTCCATACATTTTAAGACCTCATCGCCACTTTGAGTTTTAACCGGTTACATTGGCGACACACTTCTACCTCACACGGGATGCCATAAATAAACTACACAGAATCACACTACACACCTACGCAATGATTACATTCAGGCAGACTGTAGAATACAACCTCTTTAGACAATTGATATACTTATTGTGAACAAGCTACAAAATGTAATACCTTGGAAAATGCCATTTAATACTTTATAATAGCCTTAATTTTCGCTAAATTGATTTATCAATTTTAATACTTTAAGACCCCGCGGACCCCCTGTAGTTACCATTCTTTATAATTTCCATGAAAATACAGAACACATATTCACAAAGGAATATTCAATATACACAGCAATGTATAATGTTAATGTTTCACAATGTTGTCCATCATACTTCTGTTTGGCTTCGAGAATCCTTTTCTTCATGTCACAGTCCCGTCGAAGCATCATGGCTGAATCTTGAACCTTTCGAAGGATTGCCTAGAGGAAGAAAGGACGGAGGAACAAACGTTAACAACCTCACATTAAGGCAGGGGTTTCAAATAACAATTACATTTTTATACAAACATGGTGTGGACACGCGCCATAAACTAAAATTATCCCCTTCTGCTTACCCGTGAATCTTTTGACAGGTCGTCTCCTAGTCTGGTCTCCAAAGCCATCTGCTTACTCTCCGCCTCTCTGGCTTTCTCCTCCGCTGAAATAAATAACCAAAGTCGTAACTGATTAGCACGCGAGTCACAAAACTAAAATGTAAATACAAGTCCCATTTCACCCCTATCTCACAAATCTTAGCCAGGTGATCCGCTTTCTTCACTTCTTGCTCGGCACGAGTTTTGAAACGAGTCGATGTGTATTTATAAACCCTATCAACAAAACAAGAAGGTGGATTAAAGTGTTGTCACTAGACCGCCGTGGTTAACAGACACAGTGCAAGTGAGTTATCATTTTACCTCGGTTTATACAAACAGCAGGACAGTCTCTTAGTCCTGACTTTATGTCCCTGGATATAAATCCTCATGCGTGGGTCAATGTACAAAACAGCAGCGTACGCCCTGAAGGACCTCCTCTCCGGCTTCCTGTGGGGGAGGAAAGAGTGCGGCCATTAACACTCATTAAATGTCCTATCAATACAAAATACAATTCCTTTCACCATGGGTTAGTGATTGCACGGTTCAATGGAGTCACTTACACTCCTTCAACAGGAGTCCCAGCCATCAGTATGTCCTGGTGATCCGTCTCTACATCCAGCTCTGGCTCTCTGTGGTCCAGCTTCAGATTATAGACGATCACAAGAGTGCCTTTCAACAAAGCACAACACTAAAGTAAGCACTGCAATACAGAGCAACCACATCATTCACAAAAACCAAAGCTTATAGAAAAACTCTATATCATTCAAAGTGTATATAAAGAATGTAATGTGTTGATATAGACACAAGACAAATCATTTTCCACACAACTGTTCTCTTCACAAACATTCATTTGCTTACCACTGCTACTTTCTATTTTGTTGAACTGCTCCATCAGCTGCTGTTCACTTTTAAAAGGTGAGTATTTGTAGATCAGCTCCGTCTCTATGGCGTACTTCTCGGGGTCAGAGGTCAGCGGTTCCTTGGTTTTCAGATCCCAGGAGGGAAGAGGCACGATCACCTGAAGAGAGTATCAAAAGCTTTAGGTTAAGTTAAGAGAAGCTTGAGATGAAAAGTGAAATGGGTACCCAAATAAGTTTGAATCAAGTATTCAAAAGGACTTAAATACAGTTATTTCATCAATTAATGACATATTATACAGTAATTTTACAGACTGAGTAAATGTAGAGGAAGAAATAGAGAACAAGAAAATGTAGTAAAACATGATAATGAAACCAGTTTGTTCCCAGTCCATTAAAGTGTATGATCAAAGATGGAAGAACAACTCACTCTGCTTGTCAAAAGTATATGAAAATGGCGGTAAATAATTATCTCTTGAAGCCTGAACAGGCAATGTAATACAGAACAGTAACAAGCAAAGCTAAACTAGTACATAGAGCTATTCAAATTGACGACCGCCATTCAACAGCTCTATCTAAAAGTTGACTCTGACCTCGTCCAGTCCCTCCTCTTCGTGAAAAGTCCTCGACATGAAAAGGCAAGTGAGCTTATTGCCCTTTTTCGTGAACAAGATGAAGTCTTTCCCGATCCTCATAGAGCCGCTGGGAAAACAAAAACATTTTTAACGATGTGGGAAATTGTTCAAATACTAAATGTACCAAATGTAAAATGTCATATTCAAACAGAAGCAGAGAATGTCTTACGATTTCAGTCCGTTTCCATACTGGCCAATCTGAGTGGACTCATGGGACCTTTTGCTTGACTTCCCAAACTGGATCACGTGAGTTGACTCATCTAATAAAATAAATATTCATCATGTTTCAAATAAAAGACATGCAGAACATCATCGGAAAACCTTACAAGACTCCTACAACAAAACACCTTTTATCATAAAAAGAAGCTTTTAGTGATTGAATAAATGAGCGCTTACAAGGGTCCATTCCAACACCGTCATCCAGAAAACACAGCATGTAGCCGCCCCGCAGCTCGGGCCTTTTGTCTGTGAAAAGGAAAACCACATGTAAAGTGAGCAAAGAATAATTGTGCATGCTTCACTGTGTAAACTGTTATTCTCAGGTGTACCTGTGTAGATGTCTATTCGTGTGGCATTTGCATCTCTGTGAAGGAAATAAAGCAACTGTGAGATATTTTACTTAATAAGAACAATATCAGTCATAAGGTGTCCACCATTGAATGTTCTTTCTGCACCTTGAATTGTCCACAAGCTCGGCTAAGGCTCCAAACAAGAACTCGTGGGTCGTCCTGAAAACAGACAGTGAAGAAGGATTTCAGTTGATATAGCAGGACCAGCTGGTAAAGACAAACTGTTGCCCCTGATACAGATATCCCCATTATTATTCTGCATGCAATTGTTATACAACCTGTATTTGTCTCAAGTGTATGAAGAGATATGCATTTATGCAAACCAGCTGTTGAGTATAAGCTACACTCAAACAGAGTTAGTATACAGCTTCCGGTTCCAAGAGCATTTCATTATTATTTTTGATTTATTTGTAATGTTTACTCCATATGTAATGCACACCACAAGCTCATCAGCTATTCCAAACACCTAATAAAGCACTATTGTTTGAGTACTTTGGGTAAACCCTTCCAGTGCATAATCCCATAGCAGTGGATTTGGAAATGAGCCCAGGATGTGTTAACTGCCATGTTACTGACTTTGTTGACCGGGGCACCACAACCTATTCAACCATGGACCGATCTGTTCGCTAAAACACGATTAGCCTACTTGTTCTAGCAATGACAAGATAAAGCTCCTTGGTTCCATCTTTGCTTGTGAAGTACAGAGACATACAGTAAATGCAAGTGCCTTTTGAAACCATGCAAGAACATGTTGTGAATTACATCAATCCTTAGATGACATTTTCTTTTTCTGCTGCACTTTCATGATTCCATCAAGTTGAAAAGATTCAAACACATCATGTGTTACACATCTGCCAGATCACACTCATATTAAAAGATCACAAAGTAAAAGTACACATTTCTCATTCACACACTGACAGAGTGGATTTTAGAAATGTTAGTTAATATACATTTCAAATGTTGGCAGTTTGAAAAATAATAGTCTCACATATGACTGTTATGTCATATGTATTATTTTTCAAACTGCCAAAATTACATGGATACATATTTTCTTCTTCATTGAACTGATTATAAGGCTTTACCAGACATGATCATCAGTACAAGCTACATGTTGTGTAGAATGTGTAACAGATATGAATAGAGTTAAGGTGTATCTGTAATGTGGGCGTTGATCTGTTGTAAGCCTTTCAGTCTGAACCTTCAAAAACATTGACACGAATGATGGTTAAAGGTGTAATATGTTGTATAACGTATCTAATTGCTGATCTGTGATATTCCCCAGCATAATTATGTGTAGTACCAAGTTAATATGCACATATTAGTTGCCAGCATGTCAGTACTTACGAGTTTGTGTGCAGATACTCAAAGGTGAGCTGAGCCCTGCTCAGGTTGCTGTAGTTCGAGTAGGCCATGGCCACACAGAAATATTTCTAGCTTCCTGGTTTTCCGTTTGTGTTCTTTCTTCACAATGGAGCTCTAGACCAGAGCTTTCATCCTGGAGAGGAAAGACAACCATCAAAGGTGTTGCATATTGACCTACAAGGTTTTAACGTGACTCCTCTTGCTGTCCCCATGGACATGATGCGACAGCAGATTATTGAGTCACTCAACAGTTCATTGGGGGAAACTAAACATCCAGCTGAATGAACGCTGCCCCCGTGGAAGAGACTCCACGTGTGGGGCCTGACTGGGTACATCAACATTTCATGGAAGAGAGCAAAGGGCGCATTTAGGCAGTCTTAGCTAGCTATCAAGACACATTTATATAAGTTGTTTATGCTGAAGTCAGTGATTGTTTTCGATCTATGCAAAGTCATATTAAGTAAAGTACACATGATATACACCTTAATAAACGTTTCATACGTTATGCATGAACGATTCTAACGTTTAATGTTAGGCTAACTGTCGCTAACAGACGTTTGCGTCTTGAGTGTTTATTAGCTAACAGTAGCTAGCTAGCTAGCTTCACACTGGAAACATGGAGCTCTCTCAAGTCATTTTCACACACTTTGCCGACCGTTTTAAAATATGGCGACTTTGTAGTTGCTTCGGCCTAGAGTAATAATATGTATAAGCAATAATACATACTTTGTAAAGTTACGTTTCCTTGTCCTTAACATAAAACAATCCGTCAGGCCGCGAATAATCCAACAACCACTTCGACGTTGGTTACCATTCGATCTGCATTCTGCACAAATCCCGCCTCTATTTTTCTATATTCAACCAATAGGAAAGCCCCCTGTAAATATTATTTACAATGATTGGACGAGAGATCCTGCTAAGTAGACGAGGTAACATACCGGTACATCAGCGGTCCCGCCTTACGTCGTTAGAATGACTATTGAAATATTGTAGAGACAATTTTATATGTATAATTTGAAACAGACTTTTAGAAAAAAAACATTTGTTTATTGTGAGTTTGTCAACTGATCACATTCGGCAACACACACCATTTTGGCAAAGGGTCATATTGAGAGATCATAGTTCAGAAGGAGTTTCATACTTTAATAAACCATTAACCTCCAATGAAATTGTAATGTAAATGTAAGGGACATTTCAGTTTTCTTTAAATAAACATTTAAACCGTAAATCCAATTCAGCTCTCTTAACTTGATCAACATATTCCATTGATGGTCTTGGCTGGACTCCACTAAAGATACACTTTTTTCGATCACCAGAGGGAACATTCGGTGATGCAGACAACTTTGTAAGGTTTTTTAAATGAATTTCACAGTGCTTTACCAATATTGTGGTGTGTGCACCAAGTCAAGCCCCAAGCCTAAAGGGTAACATTAATAGTGTGGATTACTTTTAAAAAGACACTTAAAGTTGAAGCGCCCTAGCCATAACAGCAATAGTAACCTAGTTTTTATGTTCCAATTTTAATGTTTAATTCTCTTACAAACACTGGAGAAAGAATGTTAGAAAACAGGTTGCAGTCATCTGTTTCTAAGAGTTAGCCTACTCTGGAGTGAGTCTGTAGGACATGTCAGTATATATTTTGTAAATGAATTTGCATTCATTTTACGCCTTTCTAGTCGTCCGACCTCTCAAAGCGCTTTTACACCCCATTAAACGACGACATGTCATCATTCTCAAATGCATTAAATCACTGATGGCAGGGTTGACATTCAAGGTGACAAACTGTGCATTATTTGAAGTGTTATTACAAATAGTTTTATCATAGCAACACATGGTACATTCCTTTTTTTCCACCTAAACAAAGGTTTTTGCTTAGAAATAATTTAGGAGCAACAGGAATTTGGGTTTTTCTTGACACCCACTAACACATTGCAGGTGGATGCACAACAACTCATGGAGAACACTGAGCTCTCCCTCGGCAGAATGCATCGGAAATGTATGACGTAAACATGGTATAAAATGCACTAGACTTGATAGGAATGTATGACCAATCAACAGTGTAGGCATTACTAGTTGAAGAGTACATCAGGATCCCATTACAAAATACTCCTCCTCTATTATAATTATAATATATGTAATATAATAGAATTATTTCTCCCTTTGATATTGTATAACATTTCATTGTCATGTATCATGTATTCTCTACTGATTAAGCATCACACTTTCTTAAAGCAGGAAAAACCTTTGAGAAATGTCATAAAAATGTTAAGCATTGATGCAGCAGATGTTCAATGCGGTATCCTCATCTCACTGGGTGCTACATAAAAATATAGGCTGTCTTCAAAATTGCACAACACACTGCATGCAATGTACTCAATCTGTTTGTAATCAATTTGTTTTAAACACTGAATATTACTCCCCATAGAAATCGATTGAATGTGCCTTAAAAAAAAGTAGTGACACATAACGCTCTTCTCTCAAATGAATTACTTTGGTGTCAGCAGATAACAAATATTCATGTGTCCATCAAGGGCTCCTGCAAACAAAAAAGTCAACAATAAGGTTAGGTAAAACAATATATGCACATTTAACAGCAAATGCAGAGACTACGATACAGTATGTAGATTTTCAATCATATGGCATAACCATAGCCAGAGATACAAATATAAAGTGGTATGGTCATATAAGAAATGACTTACATTTTGTATATCTAGTCCATTCCAATGATGGCGGCGTATGAGCGACTGTGTGAGACTGGCAGCGACACAGAGTACCAAACAAACTCCAAGCAGACACACACTGACTTCCATCAGATGTCTCACTGCCACGTTTCGCTCGTCCTAAAGAATACAAGTAGAGAATGACTGACAAAATGTCGAGATGGCTCAGTTATATTGTTCATGTTTGACATCCTGTACCTGTGTTAACATGACTGTGAGTGTAGGGTCATCCTGTGAGTGTAGGCTGTAGCAGGTTTGTGATGCTGCAGGCTTCTTGTCGCTCACTTCCACATGGAGCGGGGAAATGTTTTTCTTAAATTCTGGGCACTCAGGCGGAAGTCTTTAATTAAAGAAAAAGCATGAAATTAGAGGCACACAAAAAATGACAAATTCAGGAGCGATTTTTCCTAGGTACAGTGGAAAGCTCTGTCTTTGTCAACATTAATCACCATAAGTAAATGAAAATGACATTAATATGAATTCATGTATTACTCATGCATATTCCCATTTTACTGACATTTGCATATTCATAACATATAAAGAATAAAACAGAGCTTTATTATTTACGGAATTGTATTTAATTAGCAGATTTTTAAACTTTTTTTATCCAAAGAATCTGCACAAAACAAATGACTGTGCTGCGTTTAATTAAAATACAACAATGTATAGGAATCTTATTGATCCATATACACGGTTGATCATTGTGACAGTGAGTGCTATAAGCGGTTTACACTAAAGATAGTGATTTAGGAAAGCTTAGAAACTTGACGGTGAATTAACTTACAGTTTCATGGGTAGGAGGTGCGCTGGGGCCCTTATGGTGAGGCAGGTGTAGGAATCGTTTTCGGTCATAAACTCCAGAGTCACATCAACACTCTCCGTTCCTTTAGAGTAAAACAATCGATCATGAGTGAGATGTTATGGTTATTCACCTGCTTTAACTTTATTCTGAAACAAAGCAATGCAGTGGAAAACTAACCCCCAAGATGTAACTGACTGGCTCTGAAGACAGTGTGTAAAGCAAGGTTTTTCAGGGAGCCACTGTTTGAGTTAGTAGTCACAGACAGAGGAACCTTGAGATGCAAAGTGGTGAGAGTCTTTGTTGAGGAAACTAAACTGTCTTTATCCATCAGAGGAGAAGGCACTGGTGAGACAAGCTCAGACGAACTTGCATTGGCTTGCACACAAAACGTGTGCTGTGAAAAAGAGGACAGTAGATGGTTCCAGTCCTAAAAGAGGAATAAAGTGTGTCATTTACAAATCAGTTCCAGACACACAGAAACACAAGCAAACATGCATTCACAGTCTGCACAACATCATGTTTTACTTACACACAATAACTTGTCCTCTTAAAAGGATTGTGTGAACAGATTGCATGCTAGAACATCAGACAATTCCACTCTCAAATCATGAATTGAATAAGTGAGTCCTTACCTTCACTGTGTCGGGGTTTGGAACAGTGTGGGTGTAGCTGTAAGAACTGAAGCAGATAAAGGAGATGGCCAGAGTCAACAGACACAGGAAAAATGTCACCAATGGAGGATTCTGGGATACATAATCCCTGAGGTTGGTCCCCGGCTGCCAGAAGCCCATCATCAGACTCCAGATACACCTATGCAAAACTGTAAACAAAAGTCAGTCACTTCAGTTAGAGACGTTTCTACAAGTTGGTCTCCTTCATGGACTTTGGTCGGTTGTTGGACCCGGGTCAGCACATTTGATTACCTAAACTAAAGCAAGATGTTCAGGACTGTTTCATCATATTCAGAATAATTTAGCGTTTCTGCAGGACTTGTTTATATAACCTTTACCTACCTAATTTTAAGCTTAGTGAAATCCAAAACAAGTTTAAACACACTGCTGACTTTAAGTTGCCATATGCCGTCTAACTTGTACAAATATTGACCCAGAAAACCATCTTTCCACCAATGTTTGGGATACGAGGAATAACTAGAATTTAGCTAGTCCACACCATAGATTGTATATATAAATAAATGCACTACAGAGTGCACACCACAGAGCGATAGGACACGTGTAACTTGTCTACCATATCAGCAAACGAGCTCCATTGATAAATAGCATTACTGGATGCAACGTTAGGTTACTCCGTTATGTTTGTAATGTTGCAAACCAACGAGCTAACAGAAAACTTCATACCTTGAATTTAAGCATTCTCCTATGATCACGTCGACAGTTTCGGTATTCTCCTGAGTTACGTGCAGTTAGTGAACAGAAGATCGACATTTTAACATGTTTAAAGTTCAGCTAAAGGAGCTGTTCAAAGATAACAACACGACCGCGCTGTCACTTTACGACAGTGCAATGCTATGACGACGACCATGGCTGGTCACGTGACGGACAGACTGCTTTCACAACCAATGAGTGATCTTGTGTTTTGTTTCTGTTTTCCGTTCATAATGCACTCAGTTTTAAATCAATGTAAGGAATACTGATGTTTTTTCGATTAATCGGAATAATTGTTCAATAAAGTTCAATAAAATAAATACAAATAAAACCAATTTACATTCAAAGTTGTTTTAGCTATTCATTATTAAGAACATTTTGATGTCAATACTTTTGCACTTTTACTTAACATTTTGAATACATGACTTTTACTTGTAACAGAGTATTTTTACAATGTAGTATTGCTACTTTTAACTAAATAAAAGATCTGAGTACTTCTTCTACCATTGTATTAGTTTTTGCAACGATATGATTTTATTTGGCTATAGTGACAAACATATATTTGAACACATCCACAATAACAATTTAAATGATGCAGTAGAGAACATGAAGACATTACATCTCAACAATCTGAGTATTTTATTTAGAAAATAATTAGAAAAAAATACCCAAATCATATAAGGCATTATATTACAATTATTTGAAAACTAATCAAGACATTTGACTTCACAGTGACATACAGTACCTTCTTTATCTGTATTATTGAACTTAGCGTTTTTCTCAAAAGAAAGGTGAGGTCATGTGAAAACATTTTTCAATTTCAAGAAAATGGCAGCACAATTGAAACAAGTGGGATTTACGCAATAGGTACACTTATTAAGCAAACAAAACATGAAAATCAGATATGTAGTTCATATTGCAACATTTGTATACCTTGTGTGCTTTAATTATGAAAATAG